CTTGCTATTTATGTCAACACGGATCTCAAGTATTATTATTTATGTTATTGTTTTTCGCTTTAAATCATTTCGTTTTCAATATACGAAAAAAAAAAACCAGAAAAGGATTCCTCCTAAACTACAAATACATATAGCAATAGGATAATTACTTTAACAACTCTCAACAAATCAAGTCAGGATTACGATATTGAGTCCCCCCCAACGAGGGTGTCATGTGGCACAAGGCCTTTTTAACGCGGGCATTCCGAGCTCGTGGGCTCGGCCAAAAATATGCCCATTGAACCCGTATAAACGGGTTCAGGGCCGGTCTACCTCCCCGAAGGAGACTCCGCCCTTCGCCGTAGCCTCTTTCGGTTTCCTCCCGTCCGTAGGAAGAGAGTTCAACCGAGCAGTCGGTTCAAAAGTGAACGACTGACGCAAGTCAGGATTACTACTACATCAACACCCAACTTAACTTATCAACCCAGTTACAGCGGTAAAACATTCCTCAGTTTAACCACAGTCATTGAAAATTGATATTTATAGTTACCGATGTACACATAAACCATGCAAATGGAGGAATTTGTGTATTTACAGTTGGTTGTTTGCACATCTAAATAAAAACTGAAGAAAATTCAATTTTCTAAGATTGTGCAAAAATGTGCGCTGAGAACTTTTTCACCAAGGAAATTTAATTTTCGTATTTTGCCTATAATTTTAGGCTTTTCTCATCTGTAGTGAGTTCTGTCCTGATTGAAATTTTTAAAAAAATTATTTGATTACCTTAGATTAATTCTGAAGTTTATCATGAAGTGGTTGGGAGGTTGGCTTTGTTTCCCAACGCCCGAGTATAGTTCGTTTCTTGCTCATCTGCTCCTGTACTGATATCCTTGTACCCAACATACGTTAACGTAGAAAATAATTATGATTTGTTTTTGTTAGTGTTAAAAATGTTAAAAAAAAATCACAAAGAAAGCCTTTTGCTCATTATCTGATCATCAGAAATCTTGCGAGTTCTTCTGCTAGTTTTTTTTTCTTCCTCGTTGTTGACAAGCAGGTGGCGAGACAAAATAAAAAGTGACGATGTACTTTACCCCGGGCGTCTTAAGATTACAGAGTAGAAGCAGGAAAAATAAATATCCACTTTGAGCAAAGACTGGACAATTTTGTCGCCCGAAGACTATCGCCTACTTTGTTGAAAATGGCTAAATCAATAAACTCTCCCTTCAACCGAGATATTTCTAAACAGAATGTCCGTGAGAACTAATATTTATTTATTTTTGAAAACAAAATATTGCACAAGGCCGAAAATTGGGAGAAAAAGGAGATGTTAGCTTTTCACTTTTCTGACATTAACTCAGCAAGTCGCATTTACTGACCCTCTCGCTGTTATAGAATTTATTCCAAACACTTTCACAGGATAAAAATCAACACTTCACATTCTCTAAAAGGAAAATTCTGGCACTCATATTTACAATTCAAGTGACGAGAGGAATAACACACAATTGATTCATATTTATAGTTTTTTAAAAAGTCCCCTGTGATTTGAAATGAAATGGAAACGAAATATTTACTGCGTCAAAAAATGCTTTAGTATGTGGTCCTCCACACGATCTAATATAGCAGAAAAAGCAAGTTAACAGGGCGAAAAATAAGTGGGGAAAATGTAAATAAATAAAAATAAGATAATACCGGAGAGCTATGCCTTCTGTCATCTGAATGGGAGGGGTGAAGAACAGAATATATGGGTTTTTAAAAAGAAAATAAAAATGCCTATGGCAACTCCTGAAAATTAACCAGGTTGCCCGCTTTTAAATACAAATAAAATACTAGAGAAATAAATATAAGGAAAGAGAAAAAAACTCACCAATTTTAAAAGGTGACTACTAAGAAAGAATCCATTTTGTTTTGTCAGTTTTATAATCTTTTCATTTTTTTTTCTACTGGTAAACTATATTTACGAAAATAAAACAATAACAGATACGCTATAGAAATATTTTTCTTTTAATAATACGATACGAAACACTTTGATAATAAATAAAACAAAATATAACATTGATAGACGAATCACTCTAAAAGTTCAGATTTTCATCCTATCACTGAAGTTAAGCAACGTCGAGCTAGGTCAGTAGATGGGAATACAAGGTGTTCTAAGCTTGAATCTGTGGGTGATGTGATGAATAACAACGCATAATTGTTAATTGGAGAGCCGAGTTCTAATTCCTGTCAGGTTCGCTAAACTCACTTACAAAGAAATAGCCTTTGGAAAGGTATGAAGCCACCTTTTCTCGATCAGTTTAAGAATATTTTAGAGCGTACTAAAATTAAAAACTTAACGATGTATTTATTAGTTGATTCGTTATCTAGTGCTTATCAACCATCTGAAGGTTATTTAAAGCCAGAAAATATTTTTTAGATTGTAAGAATTTTTTTGGGAGGGGGGGGGCTAATAATGGTTTATAGATACAAGTCTTACTAATTAACCCATAACTGCTGAAGAAGAGGTGAATTCATAACTCTTCCAAGAGTATTTGCGCGTAAGTGAATAAAACGATCCCAAATGGAATTGGAACTCGGCTCCTCGATTAATAATTCCAAGCCATTATCCATTAAACCAGCCACCCATCACCAACATCTTATTCTCAAGCGTTGACCAACGATGTACTGGTTCGACGTTGCTTAACCCCGGTGATCGTACGTGTACAGGTACTTAAACGTGATTTAGCTGTAAACCTAACGATATTTGTTTATAAATACATGCTTCAAAATAAAATCCTTACATTTATCTTGTGAGCGAAACATGTCGTTAAAGATAAGTTTTCCTTTTGTCTATATATATGTATGTATGTATGTATGTATGTATGTATGTATGTATGTATATGATAAAATATAATTTTAAAGTATGCTATATTAGTGGGTTAAAGTACTCGATATCAGGTATATAGCATATATAAATATAAAAGTGGACATTGAAGTTAACACCCAGAGGTGACAGCCTGTTTCCTGCTAAATGCAGTCGTTAGGCCGTATAATGAGGTGTGATAGAGCGAAACTGTCTGTCAGTGGATGACACTATATATGCTCCTGAGAAATTTATTTCGGTTCAACTCTCTGGGGAGGAATTGTGAGTTTGTAAACAGTGACTACTGCGGCTAATAATGCAAGACTCTTCGGTAAAAAGAATCGGGTTCTCTCAGTCGATGTGTGTTTATCCCAAAAAATAAATACGCTTAAATTCATTTTCATCACTACTGTGCGCCAACGGCTTAGGGGAAGAATCTCCGACTAACGACAATTCAGCCGGGAATCAATCCTATCTAGAAACAACCAGACGTCTAGCCACACTGATGAGCTGTGATACAGCGAAACAGTCTGTCTGTGGATTACGCTATATATATATATATATATATATATATATATATATATAAAAGTGAACATAGAAGTCAACACTTAGAGGTGAGTCTGTTTCATGCTATATGCAATCGTCAGGCCACCTTTATATATATATATATATATATATATATATATATATATATATATATATATTGTTACTCGCCATTTAGTACAAGAGTATATAATACTTAGTATAAATTTTAGCATGTTATTGTACATTGAGTAGTGTTTTATTATGACCAGCACTGACTGTACCATATTATATATATATATATATATATATATATATATATGTGTGTGTGTGTGTGTGTGTGTGTGTGTGTGTGTGTGTGTGTGTGTGTGTGTGTGTGTGTGTGTGTGTGTGCAAGCAAATATATGGATATAGATCCGACAGTATAAGTATATATATATATATATATATATATATATATATATATATATATATATATATATATTTCTATATATATATATACGGATGCAAGCACACATACACACCCAGAGAGAGAGGAGAAATGAAATTCTGAAACGTCTACATTCCAAAATCTGACCACATGAATAAATATCTGAATTGTGTAGATCGAAACCCTTCTTGCTTAGTCCGAGAACCTTTCAGATTTTCATCGTATTATTTGTACGCTCAGACCATGTTGATTTTATCGTTGATTAAAATTCATTTGTATTTGTTAAATGCCCGACCCAAAAGAGTTTGTACCGTAATTTCTATCTTCAAAACTGACAGTAAAAGCAATACCCGCTGAGCGAGAGGGTTAGAATCTACAATTGACCCCCAGGTCGTTTTCGCTTTTGCTAAAATAAGCCAAAGATTATTCCGTCAAGATCTCCCAGCTAATCCTAGCCATTCGATCTTTTTTCTCTCTACATGTCAAAACTTTAGATACTATAATAATAACATCGAAATCGATCTTTTACTGACCATCCAACCTTGTTGGTCATTTTTAGACACTTCATTTTCACGCTTCTCTATTTAAATATTTGTTTACATGTTTATTTTTATACTGGAAGATCTCGATTCGATATGTACCCAATGCAAACAGTTTGTGAATGACAAACGTTGGTTATATTTTGAATGGGTCCAATAATCTGCCCTCGAGTTGAAACGAGTTGAAGACGGTGTGTGGTCAGAAACTGACCGAGGCTATTTATTCTTATTATACTTTTTTTCTTCTTTGGCCGAGGAACACGTAAGGACAACAAAATGGAGGAAATAAGACACTGCTTCGTGAACAGTTATTATCGTTTCTTTTAGATTTTCTAAACGATGAAGGAAGCTTTCAACCTTATCTAGCGTGGTGGCGAGTAAAGTCATTAAAAAATGTCTCGCTAAACTGGCATTCGATTTTTTTACGTGCTTTTCGTTTAAGTTGGAAATTAATATGCAAAAGAAAGGAGAAAATTGAAAATAAATACTGAATAGCCAGTTTCAGGTTATTTATTGATCTGCTGTCTCAAGCACTAACTTATGTCAATATCACGTTGAAACATTGGTTCCTGAAGTTCTCATACGATCACCAAAGATAAGCAACGTCAAGCCTTGTTAGTACCTAGATGGGTAACTGCTTGGGAATACCAATTGCTGTAAGCTTGGATGTGCGGGTGATATAAAGGACTGACGGTCATATCACGTTGAAAAACTGATTCTCATCCGAACATCGAAGTTAAGCAACATCAAGCTGGGTTACTACCTAAATGGGTAACTGCTTGGGAATACCAATTACTGTAACCTTGGATGTCCGGGTTATATAATGGGCTTACGGTCATATCCCATTGGAACACCGGTTCTTATACGATCACCGAAGTTAAGCAACGTCAAGCTTGGTCAGTACCTCGATGGGTGATCGTTTGGGAACACCGATTGCTGTAAGCTTAGCTGTGAGCGTGGTATAATGGATTGGAATTGTTAATCGTATGGTCGAGTTTCAATCCCAATATATTAATCCACCTATTCTCCTCCCAGCTATGGGTTAATTAGCACGTCACTAAATCGTTATTATCAACCAAAATATTCTTATAATCTGAAATATTTTCTGGCTTTAAATACTCTGCAACGGGTTGATAAGTCGTAAAATATCATTAAGCACTAAGTCAAAAATACAGAACGCCCTTAACCCATTAAACGAGTGGTAGTCTGCTTAATGATTTTGCTAAATACTACTTCACAACGCGATGCACAATAATCATTTAAATCAATAAAGCACAAGCTTCTAAGTATAGGGACACACGGTGAGGATCTACAGCAATAATAATCTGGGGTAAATTTTATTTGAGTCGATCTAAAACTTCCTCTTTACTATACGAAGCGAATGAGAAAGAGCTGATGCCGTTAACGTGGCATGGTGGGTCCGAGCTGTGAAGGCTGAACTGACTTGAAGCAAGGAATGGAAATAGTTTGAACAGTTTCCATGGAAATAGCGATATTAATATTCTTAAATTAAATTATTTTATGTCGAGGCCATTCGAGAAAATTTAAATATTTTTTGTATGTTGTTCACCAGATATAATTTAGTTTTTCTTTATGATCTTTGGGATTATTTACATTATTTGGACTGTTATCCTCATCTTCATTGCAATATTCACAACATTTCGGCCGTTGTACGCTCCGGCCTTCTTCGGATTATTGGCTTAGTTGATAAAGACGTTGGTTAGATCCAGTGACTAGACCCAAAGAGTTGTGAATTCAGTACCAGGCTACAGCAGTGGTGAACCAAAAAAAAACAAAAAAAAACTTGGAGATTTGAGTTAAAGGGAAATAACTGAGACATCCGGAAGAGGCATGGAACATGGAACTAGAACAATCTCCCCCGGTGGATGAAATAATGGGTTCGGTTCGAAATTACAATCACCTGAAAAAGGCCTGAGCATAAAACGGCCGAAACGTTGTGAATATGGCAATGAAGATGAGGATAAGAGTCCGAATAATGTAAATAATGTAAATAATCATAATAGCTCATCTCAGAGATATAACATATGGTCTTCGGAGATATAGTTCTTTGATTTTGTTTAGCGGCATATCAAACCTCTATGGGTCATTTAATGCCGAAATATAAATATTTTGAACACAGTTTTATGGCTTCAACTAAATATATATTGAACACAATTGTATACATCCAACTACAGATAAAATGTATTGCTGGCCGTTTTGTTATTAAATGCTTTGTTGGTAATTCTATTATGAAATTTATTGCTAGTCATTTTGCTTTAAAATGTATTGTTGGTAAATTTACTATAAATATGCGCGGTTGGTAATTTTTTATATAAAATGTATTAAGAAATGGACAAGGTCCGACAATTTATTTATTAAAGACATTTTTATGTTTAACGTTGTTATTTATAGATACAAGTATTTAAGCAAATGCTCTGTTTATGATAAACAGTATTAAATAACATTTACCGGCCTGAATAGGATGCAGGTTCGAATCCTGTCAAAGAACGAATATTTTCTATGAAAATTTCTCAGACATTCAGGCCGGTAAATGTTATTTAATACTGTTTATCATAAACAGAGCATTTGCTTAAATACTTGTATCTATAAATAACAACGTTAAACATAAAAATGTCTTTAATAAATAAAATGTATTGCTGATATTTTTACTATAAAAATATTTTTATACTTTAATAGTATTTTTGTTTTGGTCTGGGGGTTCCCTATTGCCCATAGCTGGGACCCTAACAAGTCCTAAAACACCGAGTCAGGGTGGACTTATGAGCAACAACAATTAAGAGATAGTTCCACCCACCTCCCCTCAAAACCACCAACATTTTATATGTGTTTGAAGACATACAATTTCGTTCAAAATATTTATATTTAGGCAATAAATAACCCCTAGAGATGTTGATATGCCGCTAAACAAAATCAACCAACTAACATATTATGCAGTCGGTGTATTTTAGTCTCCAGCGGCAGAGCAAGTGTTTCTCGTCTAAGTTTTGCTGTATGGTGACACCTTTTATTAAATTGTATGTTTATTTTAGATAATGCCTTCTCATTGTTATTCATTTTTTGACTCGTTTTTTTTTTTCCTGGTGCTTTTTATCGTAAGTTTCAAATCTCTAATCTATATCTGTTAACTAAGCAGAACAAGATAACAATAAAAAAAAATTGTACCCTTTGGCGAGATTTTGACTCATCCTTTTTCTTACACTTAGGAACTTGCCTTAAAGTGACAGCGCTTTAAATTGTTTTCAAGCTGATATTTTTTTTCTGAACAAAAACCAGAGATCGCTGTCTTGAACTCTATATCGAAATCACCCTACACCCCATTCTTTGAAAGACCACATGGTCAAGTGATAGTCATTCAAACAAATAAATAAAAGATAATTTTTAAAAAAAGAAAAAAAAAAGGAGAAATATCAGCGAGTTTCCCAGCTTGTCTGGTGTCGTGGTTTCACTCAGTGTCCTTTTTAATGAAACTTGGCAGGTCGCAGAGTTCTTCCCTATCTTATGTTATCAACCAAAGGCTTTATCTGAGAGTCTGGTTCCTGCAGTTAGCATCCTCCAAAGATCAGCTTGATCTATAATCAAAACCAGAAACGGATCTCAGATGCCACTATTTCAATTAGTTTACTTGGATGATCTTACTCCTATTACATTAGGGTTATCTATCCACAACACATATACCGCTAAATGCTCTCTATGAAACAAGGAGATTACAAGCTCATGTATGTACTTTTCTACTATTTAGTATATCGACCCTTGTTGACCACCCAAAAAGCTCAGGAAGCTTGACTTCTACCCATTTTTTTTTTCAAAATAATTGCTGAGATCCATAGTTAGAAACGGAAACGCTGCGTTGTCGTAGAATAATTGAAAAAAAACAATTATTAAAAGGGACAAAAAGTGTTAAATTAAAAGGCATGTATTTCCCACCGGCGAATGATGCGTGTTCGATCCCAGCTGAAGACTGGCTTTTTGAATACTGATTTTAAAACCAAATATTCTCTTTTCATCGCAAAATCTGACTTAACGAAATCAATATCTACTAATTTCTATTAAAATGCTCAAAGAATACGAAATTATGCAATTTCTCATGGTATCTTGATGAGGAAGAATTTTTTTTCGCAAAACATTATTACTGCCGAGAGGTCAATCCTCACTTAGTGACCGCTATAATAACGTCTTTGCGGTATCCTAAACTGTGCTTAAAAATACTTGTTAGCCGACGTCAGTCTTCAAGGGTATATCAAATTTAGACGTCAAACTTTCTTTTTTTTTTAGTGGATACCCATATTTGTGTCGATGCTCCATATACTTTTTAAACGGTATTTTATTTTGGTCTAAATGCCTGAATATTTAAGAAAAGTTATTAAAAAGAAATGCGCATTCTGGTAAGATTCGAACTTGCGTCCCAAACGTACAGAAGAAACCGACGTTCGATCCGACGTGCTATTAACCGACTCAGCCTCGAAGAACATCGTCGATTAAGGAAGGTTGTATACTGCTTTTAAATACACCCTTCTCGTTTAAACAAAGCAATTCCTAAAAACTTAATGTATTTTATCCGACATATGTTTATCAGTTTAAAGTGATAAAAATATGCCCGATTAATAAATAAAAAATAATAATTACTTATAAATATATATTCATTACTTATAGAAATATATATAACTTATATACTTATATATAATTATAGAAATTAAGACAGGTTTCGTTAAATAATTTAGACATGTTCTGTCTACTTATTCTCGATAGGCTCTTTTTATATTCGCGGATACGCATTTTTGTGTAGTTATTAAAAGACGAGAGGAAAACACCGTATTGGCTCATATTGTATTTATTTCCGAGTACTTTCGACATAGGGCATTGTTAATTATAAAGTATTTAGTGTTCATAGTTCTGAAGGACAAAAATTGTTGTGGTCATCCGAAGATTACCATTTTTATATGTGGATTCACGAACGAAAGATCCGCTCGGGTCTGCACCTTTTTAAATTAGCCGGCTCCAAGTGGATCTTTGTTTTATTCTCTTCTAGCACGTATACTGTGTTGTATTATGAATACACGGTATATTTAGGCATCCAAAGTATTCATCCAAATAAGTTTTATTAGAAAAAAGAACCGACAATGTCTGTCTGTTTTGTTTTATTTTCTATTTTTCCAATTTTCGTTTAAGGTGTTGAGTATTGTGTACAACATTTCCGAAGCTCATGTTCGTGATATTGTTTTCTTCAAGTACTTTCAACTGCCTCAGTCATTTTCAAGAACCAATGTGGTGTCTGCGTCGTAAGTAGAATTTCTATACTCTGGTATTGTTGCCATAGACAAAGGAATTCTGCCACAATTTCGAGTATAATACGTTTGTTTTATTGCGTTGAAATTACTGTAGAAAAAGGAATGGAGCGCAAAAGACGATAATGACAGTTTGCAGAATAGACATGTAGACAGTCTACGCATGTTAAAATTGTCATCAGCAGAAACAGCAGAAGACAGCGTGCCATTTAGTCAAGCCATTAATAGGGACGTAGATCTTTATCAAATACACCTCCTCCGTCTCCTCTTGAAAGGAAAATTAAAATGTCACAATAGACAAAATAAAAAAAAAATAAAAATAAAAAACTTTGTACGTAATTTCTTTTCGTTTGTACGCTTCGGGACAAATATATGTCCTCTACCAAGAAAGCAAAAACTCACGTTCTGTGTTATTTTTCATCGGAACTGGACTGACGCGCCATCATTATTTCAGCAATATTTAGCCTTCGTGTCTGCAATAAAAGGATTTGTTAATAGGACGGTTTTTCCCTTGACCCCGCTATTATTTTGCACTAGCTTCACTCCCTCGGCAATATTGTTTTCAAAAGCGATTCTTAGAATTTTAATAAAGCCCAAACATATGAAAGTGAATTAATAAATTTTCTTTGGCCTTTGAAAA